GATCAAAGACAGCTAGCCAGGCTTTCCATGTCTTCCATTTTCAATGACCATGTGTCACTCACAGCTATATGGGAAGACTGAGCGAACAGGTGCTAAGCAGTATACACGTCCTTTGATCGACAGCCACCCGGATATCACATCTTCATGAGAGATGGTGTGAGTTGACCAATGCTAAACGCACCTTCTTTATCCGTGCTAGGATTTCGTCAGTGATCAACCCTCTGGCGTTGGCTGATGCAACTTCCCAGATAAGTGAAGTAGTTTACCACGGTCTACCACTTCACTCCTGCGTATCTGCGTTCTACTGTCTAACTGACCAAAACTTCCTTAAGACATATATATATATATGTATAGTCACAAAACGCTTCAAAGACAGTCAAAAGACGATTGTTTGTAGGTTGCAATATATGTTTGTTTCTCAACAGTGCCGTTAAGCAGCTATATAGTTAAGAGAACATTCTACGTACAAGACAAGTACTGTAGAACAAAATTATTATTATTATTGTTCCCTTGGGTTCCTAGTGGAACATAGGGCTTCAACTACACGTCTCCACTTGCTTCTGTCTTCTGCTGTACTTTTCACCTGCATCCATGTTAGTCCATACTGTTTCAACTCCTCTTCACACGATCTCCTCCCTTGGACGTCCCAATCGCCGCTTCCCTTTCGGGTTCCACTCGAGCATTGGTCTGACTCGCGATGTCACCCAGCGGCCTCCTCAGCGAGTGTCCAATCCATCTCCACTTTCTCCCGCATATTTGTTGGGCGATTGGTTCTTGTTTTGTTTGTTCCCATAGTTTCTTGTTGGTGTTTCTTTCCGGCGGCCATCTGATCTTCAGTATAGAACGAAGACAGCTGTTGATAAAGGTCTGCAACAGGCTGTTGGAAATATTCTTTGTGACCCGCCAAGTTTCTGATCCGTATAGAAGAAGTGACTGACTTGACGTTTGTATTGAAAATCCCAATTTTGTTGTTGAGTGTTGCTGAGTGACGAAGATTTCCAGATTGGTTTCCGGTTGACAAATGTGTTTCTCGCCTTCCCGATTCTCGATTTGACATCCTCGCCCATTCCTCCTGTAGTTGAGACAATGCTCCCTAGATAAGTGAGTGAGTGAAGTAACCTCTTTCAAATCCCTCCCGTTGATGGTGATTGGCGGTGGATGTTGCTGCTGTTGTTGTTGTTGTTGGTTGGTTATTTTCATAACCTCCGTCTTGTCTATGTTCACCTGGAGTCCTGTCTTCTCTGGCTGCATCTTCTCCAGCAGTTTGTCGGTTTTCGCTTGTATGTCTTCAATTTTGTGTGACATCAAACATAAATCATCCGCAAAATCCAGGTCTGTAGAACAAAATTTTTTTTTTTATCCTTCACGTTCCCCGGTGGAACATAGGGCTTCAAGCTAGTGGCTTGAAGTTTCTGTAGCAGTGTTTATTTTACAGGATGGGGTTGCTAGCCTCATGCCCAACGTTTCCTCTTCATTAGCATTATATCTGGCTTGGCGAGGTAAAGGAGTGCGTCGGCCGGGGTTCGAACCCCGGACCATGTGCATGGTCGGCGAGCGTCCTAACCGCTATGCCACCGACGCACGTAGAACAAAATTAGTTAGCCGAAATTCAATTGTAAGAAATACCTTAGGTTCAAGAAGTATAGAATATTCCCAACAAGGGGTGGGAACAAAAACTCTTTCCACAAAAAATCATACACCAACACCTATCACAGATGACAGTCCAGGATGAGAATCCCATTCATTCACTCAAAAGGAAAAATAATAGTCGTAAAATAAAAGATATTATCAATATCATCATCATACAACCACAAAGAGAAGCATTAAAACTAGAGGTCAAACAAGGACAAAGTCATATAACAAGGATTAAGTCAACATATGATGATATCACAAATATGCGAGCAATATGATCACAAAGTTGGTTGAAACATCCAAATATAAGTATGAATAAATAAATGTGATTAGATGGTTTAGGAGGAGGGATTTTCCAAGTAAATAAACGGATTGATTTATGCGCTTATTTAAAATAAGCTGAGAAAGGCAGCAATTTCTGTTTTACCGGAACTTCTCCTTATTTCTTAGTTGAAATGATGCCTGAAAGATGCTGACTACTTCTGGATTTTGACAGTAAAGCAGCTTAATATTGTGCGATCGAAACCGATGTGTTGTCATCTGAATGCAAGAAACTGATCTTTTTGCGTTCTGCTGAATATCTGATCAAACTTTTCTTGAGTTTCTTATCCACAACCACAAAATGTCCAAACAGTTACTTACGATAAAATCTGAGGTTGCCAGCCTCTTTTCCATGCATGTCTACTACCGACTAGTGAAAATCGGTCCAGTTGACTGGAATTCCACCGGTCGACTATTGGAGTAGCTCTGGATGCTAAGAATCGAAGGCTGTAGACTGTTGGTGATGTAGATGACAATCTGTACCAGTGGCAAAGGTGTATTCATCAGTTATTTGTGATCTTCATTACCATCCTGCCAGTTTCCCTTTTATTATAGTTTCATTACGTTTGTTTCCTCTGTCTTTATGTGCTTTTATAAAGTCATTATGGACAACAACAACAACATGATTGCGTAGTAACATTTAGATTTAAATCGAATTGGGTAGGGACTCCGATCCAGACACCCTTGATCTAGTCTCACCATAAAGCATGCGACAAGTCTGACGACTACATATCAAAAATGTAGCACTCCTAGTGCATGGAACATTCGTTCGTTTCAGTCTATTTAAGTAATTAAAGGTTTACGATATCCCCCACTCTATTTTTAAGAATCATTGTGAAGTAATTTTATATGAAGATGTTGCTATTTTCTTCCTGAGTTGAATAGTTCAATCCTGGAAACTTATATCTAGTTCGATTTCCACACTCATTTCAGATTAATGTAGGTCGTCTGTCTTGCTTTTCTAACCCTAGATTTTGACATCCTCATATGGAATATAAGTGTAGAGGTAATTTTTCGTGGGTTCTTTCTCTTCTATACCCAACTGATAGTGAAAGCTCCTCAATTTAACCATTCAGCTCAGATCATACAGCTGTGGTATGTACTGCTGACAAGATTTATCAGTAGTATTATATAAAATGGGTGAATGGTCTACGAATTCGCCTTGTATCCGTGGGTTCGAATCCCCCTGGGTTGGGTGCATACTGATAAAGGATTCCAAGCAATAGGACGAAACAGCTGTCCAGTATTCCTTCCGGGTTTTCCAATGGTCCTCTTCAACTGATGTCAACTCATGATCAAACCTGTAATCGATACCCAATAATAAGTTATGTTGGATGTTTACTGTCATTTTTGAGTAGTCATCATTACGTGTGATCACTATTCTTCTGCTTTGCAAGTTGTTGACTAATGACCTGGACATTTGGTTCTCATATATTTTTTCAGTTGGATATTAGTAGTAAATATAAACTTGTATACGAGCACGAAATTGTACTCAGTTATGATAATCCCTCATGCTTTATACAAACAAAGGTCAGTCTTTTTAAGGTGTTAGTGCGATATGCGCTATTGACAAGCTTTATCAGAAGTATTATATGAAGAGACGTTCATCAGCATTTCAGTAATTTCAAATAACGGAGAGATAGATTTGACGTCCCCAAGAGGGGAGGATTGCGGTGAAACACATGGGAGACACGAAAAGAAGACAAAGAAACACAATACACGAAAGGCAGAAGTAGTAAGCACAACACTCAAGATCTGTGTAGGAAATGTCCATTTTAATATATGGCATACATAATCTCCCTATATGTGTATATCAAATTGCAAATAAATATTCCATCACACAATCAAAACGAATTTTATCTAGATATGATGGAGAAGGTTTGCAGCTCAGATGAATGATTTTGATATGGTTGTGTTCTCTGAGCTGTATAGTTAATTTGCGAAGCTTTCATTGCCCTCCTACTAGGCAGTATCTTCAGCGCATACTTCAATTTGTTGAAGTGAGCTTTTAGATTTCTCCACGAGCTTATTAGTCATCGCTCCTGGTGACCTAGAACCTCGTGTTTGGTTGTTTTTGTGTGTTTTCATACCTTCTAGGCTACTTGTATTGGAACTGATTGTTTCCCTGACTTGAACTTTGACTCTTTGTGTGTGAGATTTCCTTCGTATCGGTTTGGTGAATTTTGTCTATGTCGATGTGTCTATTGATTGACGATTCACTAGAATACCATGCAGGCTTCTAAAAATTCTCAAGCATTCTTGGTGTTTCCTCTGTCTAATACTTGAATGTTGGTTATCCGAATCGAATTGATGCCCGTGGTTATCTGTATGCAGTGATATGAGGGTGAGGGAGTGAATGTTATGTCTTTTGATGGCTAGCTTATGCAATATATATATATGCAATAGACAATTGGCGGCCTGTTTAAAACTCGGGCTACCAACAGCTTCCATCTCTCTATTGCACATATTTTCTCTCATTCGGTTTTTTATAGTCGATTAAGATGTGACCTCTAATGGTATTATCTATTCTTTTGGGCATTTAAAATGTTTATAAGCTCCCGATTCACAATTTCCTACTAAACTTGAGGAATGGCCTGTGATTGTAGGTGTGGCAACGTGTTCCCATACAACATGAGATACCTGTTCTTCATTTATGTTATGTCCTTAGGTCTCAAAACGTACTTCTGAACATCTTACAATTGACTTTCACAGCTAGATATCGTGGATAGACTTCTTGAAGGAAGGAGTCAAAGCAGATATATCACACAGTGGAATGGTTTGTGCTTCATCAGCTCAGAGAGAAGAGACCATTGTGTCACAGGAAGGATATACTGTCAATTAATTAATATTTTACTTGAAGATATTATACGGAGGGAAAGTTATCATGCAATAAACTCCACCGAAAATTCTGTACATTTTATAAATACTGTTCAGAATAAAGATATTATTTATTTTTATTTTTATTATTAATCATTGTGATCACTATAAATTATAATTATAACTATTATGTGTATTTTCTCTGTTACCCCTCCCGCACCCTTTAATAGGTGATCTCTTACCAGCTGATGGTATCGTTATCCAATGTAATGATTTGAAAATCGACGAAAGTTCTCTAACGGGTGAATCTGATCAAGTGAAAAAGAGTGAGACGAAAGATCCCATCCTCTTATCAGGTAATATTTATTTTTTTTATTCTGTGATTTTTGTAATTCTTATTTCCCTGTGTATATTATGTATAACATTGTGTTCGCATTCATGTGTTTGTGTGTGTGTCTGCCTACAACTACTCATATTCGTTAATTAGTAGTATTATAATAATAATAATAATAATATGCTTTATTCCAAAACAGTACTTGTGATACAGAATGGAATTCTCAGCATTTTTACTACAGTATTGCATCCAGTTAGTACATTGTCAATAAATAGAATTCTACATAGATTGAGGAAACCACAGTTCATTGTTACAACAATACATTGGTATGTTCAGTAGCAAAGGTAAAGCTGAAACAGTGTTTGAAGGTGTTAGAAAAGTGGGAGCTGTCTTATTAACTGGCGTAAGCGAAAGAAAGAGACAAAGCAGCACATAACGGAAAAAGAAGAGAGAGAAAAGGAACAGAAAGAAAGGAAATGTTGAACCTATTGATGAAGTGGGTTGGAAAGATGAGATCCAGTTTTACTACTGACTATTTAATGAATTATTATATCGACTGTGAAAACTACAAATCATGCATTTTATCCAATGAAAGTAGTATTTGCAGAATAAAGTGGTACCATCTTTTATTCCGTTGCCTTCTCGTCAGCTGCTTACAGGCCAAGGACATTATTAAATATTTCTACAAAAATAATTTTAACATACTTGCACAGAGTGTTCACTTTTAAACAAAAACCAATCGATCATTATATGCATGCAGTAATTATATATATACAATTATATATATATGTAATATTAAACATTATTCCGAACAATACTAATCATACACAATGAAAACTTTTCAGCATTACGCATTCAGATGAAAGAGAGGGTGAAAATATCCAGTTACCACGATGGACAAAGAAAGACTGATAACCGCTTCTTTCTGGAAGCCTAAATAAGGTTTCAGGCGCTTGATGGGAATGGCTTCAGCGAACTTGAGGATAATTGAGCTCTTTTGCCTATTGATAATTTTGAATGACTTTTCGATGTTCACCTCATGACCAGTGGTGTCGAGGAGATGCCAGGTGATGGCTCTGTTTAAAGCATTTGTTCCCTTTAGACTAATCAAGACTCTGTACTATAAAGCGAGGAGAATATGCTCTACAAATAAATCAGAGGAAGAATATGAGTTTCTTGAAAGGATGTTGAAGAGCAATAGGTACCCTCGAAGGTTCATCAACGAGTATGGAAGATCTGAAGTCACAAATGTAAAACAAATCACATTGGGTTAAAAGCCTGTCTACATTCATCTTGATTATAAAGGTAAAAACATTGCAGCAATGATCAACAGAAGGCTAAGTACATCACTAGCCGTAGCCTATCCTGCAGCTTAGCTTGTCCCCGTCTATCGAAAAACTTGCTCTTTGGTGCAATCAAAAATCGATAGATATCCTTCTCATGTTAACTCCAACTGTGTATACAAATTTATATGTATCTACGTCAGCAGTTACATTGGAAGGACAGAAAGAAGGGCATATCTACGATTTACTGAATATGTAACGAAAAGCTTATGTCTAAAGGGAACAAATACTTTAAACAGTGCCATCGCCAGGCATCTTCTTGACACGGGTCATGAGGTGGACGTGGAAAAGTCATTCAAAATTATCAATAGGCAAAAGAGCTCAATTATCCTCAACTTTGCTGGAGCCATTTCCATCAAGCGCCTGAAACCTTATTTAGGCTTCCAGAAAGAAGCGGTTATCAGTCTCTCTTTGCCCTGGTAAGTGGATATTTTCATCTCTCTTTCATATGAATGCGTAATGCTGAAAAGTTTTCATTGTGTATGATTAGTATTGTTCGGAATAATGTTTAATATTACATATATGTATATGTATATATTATTACTGTATGCATATAATGATCGATTGGTTTTTGTTTAAAAGTGAACACTCTGTGCAAGTATGTTAAAATTATTTTTGTAGATATATTTAATAATGTCTTTGGCCTGTAAGCAGCTGACGAGAAGGCAACGGAATAAAAGATGGTACCAATTTATTCTGCAAAAACTCTAGTTCTTGCTTTGTTCAAATTCATTAAGAGGAATAAATGTATGAAGGTAGTACTACCAGTTTAGCCAGGTAGCTAGCCAGAATTGACTCGGCTCTTTGAGCTGAGTCATACTGAGTTCTACACTAACGACATGCCTACTGGCAAAACAAGGGAGTGTTGTTGTTGACTATGAATCATTGTGTTTCTTGACTCACTCACCGGCCTGATCCTCTTTTTTAGTTGACTCCACAAACTTTCAATGGAATTTGTATGATGAGTCCCATCGGAAGGATTGACGAAATCGTCCATATGACTAACCACTTTGTGAATATAGACCAGGGAAGACAGTTGGGTACATGTTTTCTCCCTTCCAATGAGCCTGTTGTCTAGACAGTACTTAAATATTAGATGAGGATGAAAAATGCTGTGTAATTCGTGCTTTTTTTAATTCCTCAACGTTCCCAGTGGAACATAGGGCAGCTTCAAGCTAGAGGCTTGAAGTTTCAGTAGCACTGGTGATCATTTTTACAGGATGGGGTTGCTAGCCTCATGCCCAACCTTCCCTTTTTACCAGTCTTACTACTGGCATAGCGAGGTCTAGGTAGGAGTGCGTCGTTCGCCGGGGATTGAACCCCCGACCACATGCTTGGTCGGCGAGCACTCTACCACTGTGCCACCGACGCACATGTAATTCGTGTACACTATCCATAATTGCGGCTATATATAACGGACTCATTTGATTGTTTTTTGCTCAAGGTCATTAATTCGTTCATTAGATAGTATTCGTTTCATGCTGGTATAGTTTAAAATCACAACCCTTGTGCTTAATTCTTGTCTTCATTAACCAAGGCGCGTGACTGAATTTTCTCTTAACATGTCGTCTCATTATATCAAATGTTTGATTAAATTAATAACCCCCCATTGGGACATAAAAACAAAGAATTCAACGAGAAAAATTGTTTTTCCGACGATTTCAATTTCATAGCTGTACAAATACTAAAAATTGCGATAATATTGGTATAAAGGATTATGAGTCACTACGGATTGATATCAATTAGAGAACCACTGAAAACCAGCACTGCAGTACTGCAAGACAGCATTGTCTTGTTTGAGAATCATCGGCAGTACGCACCCACCACCCAGGACCTTCCGGTTATAAGGAAGCAAGCTCGTATAGCATTCAGTCCAGGAATTATAACTTCTACCAATTCGTGATGCATTTAGCGCGACTGGCACCAACCAATGTCATCGGTAGGACATCCATCCTCACACTTGACTGGATGGACCTCACTGGAACATGGAATAAAGAAGGATAACAAAACTCTTATGTGAATTACATAGTAAAATCAAGACCTTGGGGTGGTAACGAAAGAGCATAGTACACAAAGTTCTGGCTTTATGTGTTATGCCTTGTACTCGTGTGCCTTTGTAGACTATATTAAACAATGTGTTGTCAGATTGATTGATTGATAAAGGTTTCCAACAGTCTGTTCTCCATAGTGGTTGATTATTAAGCCAAAACGGTTAGGACGGACGCTCTCCGACCATGCACATAGTCCAGGTTTCGATCCCCGGCCGATGCATACCTGATATCAATGGTCGGCTTGCTAAATTCACGCTACCGATATCACATGCTGAAAATTCCCATCTTGTATCAAAAATGTTGTTTGGAGTCAAGCTATGATAAATTATAAAATATAAAAAAATACTTCAAGATCAACTCCGTTTATCAAAGGGGCTGACTTCTTTCTTTTCAAAGTCGATGATAAATTAGCCTACCTTTTTTATCTTTCCCATTTCGGAGAGGGGACAAACTACAAAACCAACAACCATTTTCACCATTTTTTCACTGTCTTCTTCTACACTAAATAAATAAAGAATATCCAAAATAGAGTGTGTGAGTGTGTGTGTGTGTGAGATGAAAGTACATCAGGCAAAAAAATTGTTTAACGGAAAATACAGTTGACTTCCCTCTCTCTCTTGAATATATATATGTTCAAATTACAAGACATTAGCTTCCTGTTAGATGTATGTAATGTGTATATATATATATATATATTTGTTGGCACACTGATTACAGCAGTATCTCTTCTGTTCTGTTCTATTCTGTTCAATGTCCAACTTCGTTTAACTTTGTAAATCTAAAATGAAAACGACTGGCTACTGTTACTGCTATCACTAATTTTTCATCATATATATATATATATAATATACTATAATGTTTATAAAAATAACGTCTAGAATTACCCCCAGCCGCCTAACCCCACCTCTCACTATCACCACCGCCACCACCACCACCACTCCAAGTACACACTAACTGTCCTTTTCTTCTCTTCTTCATCAGTGTTTCTCTCTCTTTTTTTCTCTCGTCCTTTTCATCCTTGAATCACAGTTTACCTTGTAACTCTTTTAATCATTTATTTGATTTGTCACACAAAATATATCTATATACATATATATGTATTTCCTCCCTATATCTATTACTGTGACAACATTTTTTAAAAGATTTGCTACGCTTTATGCCCGCCCCCCTCCCCCCAGCTTCAGTACACGTGTGTGTATGTGTCCGTGCACAAGCGGATGTGCGTCTGTAGCTTTCTTTCTGTGTGCGCTATACACCATACCATATATGGTATTTCATCCCAGTAATATATATATATGTTTACATATTGATTGGTGTTGATAATATTACTCCTATGTAATAGTATGCTATAATAATATCAATATCAATACTGTTATGACGCAGTAGGCGGGAGTTAACTGCACCTAATCTTGGTTGAAGTTTAGTCTAACCGTCACTAGAATTGACTATGATGACACAAGGATTCATTTCATTTCTTATTACCACCACCAGGGATTAAGAATTTTCTGTCTTTCAGTTTCTTCTTTGCCTAAAAATGCCCCTTGTTTGTGTGTGTGTGCGTCTGTGTGCGTGTTTGTGCACGTGTATATTCAGCTGACAATTTTTAGATTATTTGAAAGAGACAGTAG